TGACCCTGAGACAGGGCGGCTGCTGGCCAGCTCTCACGGAGCAGTCGCGAGGAACGCTGCTCCTAGCTGCTCTGCCTCTGCTGAGAGTCCTCCCCAGCAGTCCTCAGGGCGGTGCTGCTGCACTGTGCATAGGAAGGATGCAAAGCTGGAAGGGTGATCAGACACCAGGAAGGCTGCGTCCAGAACCCAGGCTCTAGCATTTCTCTACTTCCAGAGTCTAGTGATTGGCAGTTACCCTCTGTGTCAGAAATAAGGACAAGGGCAGAATTGGAGATACGTGAAATTTGAGAAGCTTGTGGGCATTTAGGAGGAGATGGGTAGGACTTTAAGGTGACCCAAATTGAAACTTGGGAACTAGAAACCTCGGTCAGGCAAAGGCGTCGGTGTGCCTCCAGGTTGTGAGGTCCAGCGAGAGGAAAGGGAAAGTGGCTTTCCAGGGGGAGTGGAGCTGTTGGGGTGGACAGCGGTGGAGGAGGAGGAGATTGGTGCGGGAGCACTTGTTCATTTGAGAACTAGGTGAGGGGCTTTCACTTGAAGTAAGGTGGAAGCCGCAGGAAATGGTTCCAGCCTTTCTGCTTAGCCAGGGTGATGTGGTGCCCATCGGTGAAGTGCTGTTGACTTTGCCTCCTGATCTCATTGCTGGCGGCTAGAGCCTGTATGCCACGGGTTTCCTGACTGTCTTCCTCATCTCTACTTTTTGCTTTCTTTGCCCTAAGTAGATTTTTCTTGTACCTGTTTCCCTCCCCACCTTCCCCTATCCTGCCCTTTATTTCTTCCTTTTGAGTCTTTATTTGGAAAAGCCATTAGTTTATGTTCCTTGCTTAAAAACAAAAACAGCTGGGGCTGGGAAGGTGGATCAGTGGTAGAGCGCTTGCCTTGCATGCTCGAGGCCCTGGGTTCGATTCCTCAGCACCACATAAGCAAAAAGAAAAAAGCCGGAAGTGGCGCTGTGGCTCAAGTGGTAGAGCGCTAGCCTTGAGCTGAAGAGCTGAGGGACAGCGCCCAGACCCAGAGTTCAGGCCCCACGACCAGACCCAAAAAAACAAAAACAAAAACAACAATAACAACAAAAAAAACCCAGCTGTCCAGTCACGCTGGTGGCTCACGCCTGTCATCCTAGCAGCTCGGGAGGCTGAGACCCCCGTTCAGGGCAGGCCCAGCAGGAAAGTCTGTGTGACTGCTCACATGATTAGCCACCAAAAAGCTGCAGGCCGAGCTGTGGCTTAAGTCGAGCACGAGCCTGGAGCAAAAAGGAGAGCCCTCGAGCTTTATTACTTCAGGCACAGGGCTGGCACCAAGACAGCACGCAACGCCGCAAACAGGAGCGGACACAGCACTGCTCCCGCGAAGGAGAGGACGGGGATGGTCGTCCTTTAAAAAATAAAATCCTCCTCACTGCTTGCATCTCCCTTGTAATCCGTTTTTGCACTGGGGTTTACTTTCTTCCATCCTTTCATCTTAACTGGAAAAAAGTTCCATTCCGAGCGCCAGCCCAGGCTGCCTTCCGGCCAGTGCTCCTGGGACCCGTGATACCTGAGGTTAATTCACGTCCCATGATTCATCTTCCTAGCTGCTGTTATTGTTTGCAAATTCATCAGACTGTGCTACCTCCAGGGCTGTCGTGTGTAGAGGTGACAGTCTGGTGAGGGGCTGGGGTGGCATTCTTTCTTTTTCCTTTTCCAAAGTCTTTATTGTGATTAAGTGATTACATAATTTCACACATTTCACAGTATTGTGGGATAGTGATGCTTAAAGTCACAAACACATTCTAACCTTCATGGGGCAGATTGTCTATTGTGGTCTATAAAGTTCTAGGAGTTTTCGACCATACAGTTATTTCCTCCACATGGGGCCATAGGTACATTCCTTTCCTTTTGCAGAGCATCAGCTGTTCCCTCCTTCCCGCTTGTTCCCTCCCTCCCATCGCTGCCGCTGAGTTGCTTGGTTCGTCTTGATCAATGTCCAGTGGAGGGTGGCATTCTTTTTTTGTTTGTTTTTTGTTTTTGGTCGGTGGTGGGGCTTGAACTCTGGGCCTGGGCGATGTCCCTGAGCCTCTTTGTGCTCAAGGCTAGCCCTCTACCACTTGAGCCACAGAGCCACTTTTGGCTTTTTCTGATCAATTGAAGACTCACCACTTTCCTGCCCGGGCTGGCTTTGAACCGCGATCCTCAGATCTCAGCCACCTGGGTAGTTAGGATGACAGGCGTGTGCCCGGCTCTTGTGGTTTTCCTGTTTGAATCTCTGGAATGACGGTTTGGATGAGGCAGCAGGCAACGCTTAATAAATACTGCCTTTTTTCTTTTCTTTTTTTTTTTAAACTGCTTTCTCCCAGTCTTCCCAGCCCCCAGGTTAATGCTGTTATATTGGAAGGCAGTTGATTTTTTTTTTTTTTAGTTCATTCAGCCTCTTGCTGAAATTTATATTGTAAAAGTGACATTTGTTTTCTTGGATTTTCTCGTTTCTAGATATCTGTAGTCTACGTACTTTAGTGTTTCTAGATCTCAGTCTGCTGGGTAGCTAGGGTTGACTTTTCAGAGAGTCCCAACTTCTCACTGTCTGTCCTGGACTCATTTTTGCCTAGCTCTCAGAGGAGCAGATTTAGTTGGTGTGAAAAACAACTATTTTTAGCCTTATGTTTAGACAAAGTAGATAGAGCAGAACTATACAGACCCATAGTAACCTTACATTTTCTCCTTTCTGTGACACATGAATCCCAAATTTTCTCTAACCTATTAATGTTTTTTTCATTTTATTGATACCTGGAACTGGGAGTTAGGATCAGGTCAGATACTTTTTCTCAAGAGTTGATTTCACTTGTTTTTGGTCATTTGTGGGGCTTGAACTCAGGGCCGGGACACTGTCCCTGAGCTCTTTTGCTTAAGGCTTGTAGTCTTTCACTTTGTGCCAAAGCTCCACGTTGGGTTTTCTGGCAGTTAATTGTAGATAAGAGTCTCACAGACTTTCCTGTCTGGGGTGGCCTGGAACTGTGATCTCAGATCTCAGCCTCCTGAGTAGCTAGGATTACAGGCATGGGCCCCCATTGCTTGATTTTTTTTTCTTTCCCTTTTCTGTTACCTTGGTTTTGAACTCAGGGCCTTGGGCTTGCTTGGCTTGCTTGCTTGCTTGGCTAGTGCCATGCTTTACCATTAGAGCCATGTTTCTAGCCCAGCTTTTTTTTTTTTTGGTCATGGGACTTGAACACAGGGCCTGGGCGCTGTCCCTCAGCTTTTCAGCTCAAGGCAAGCACTCTACCGCTTGAGTCACAGCACCACTTCTAGTTTTCTAGTGGTTTATCAGAGATAAGATTCTCACAGACTTTCCTTCCCCAGGCTGGCTTTGAACCGTGATCCTCAGATCACAGCCTCCTGAGTAGCTAGGATGACAGGCATGAGCCACCGGCGCCCGGCTCTTGCCCAGCTTTTTGCCGCTTATTTTCAAGATGGAATCTCTTGGATTTTCCTGCCTAGACTAGCTTCAGACCTAAGAGTGGGGATCTCAGCCTGCTGAGGAACTGTAAGCCACCAGCTTTCTCCATCTCCTAACAGGAGTAGTTATAGCCACTCCTTTCTTTTAGATGAGGTCCCGCTGTGTAACGCAGGCTAGCCTCAAACTCGTGATCCCTTCTGTAACAGCCTCCCGAGTGCTGAGATGACACGTGTGCTGCCGTTCCTTCTGCACCTCATCGTCTGGCCTCAGTAATAAAAATGTGAAGAAAGCTGGGTGCGGTGGCTCACGCCTGCCATCCTGCTATTCAGGAGGCTGAGGTCTGAGATCACAGTTAGAAGCAGCCCAGGCAGGAAAGTCTGTGAGACTCTTCTACAGTGAACCCCTAGAAAACCAGAAGTGGCGCTGTGGCTCAAAATGGGAGAGTGCTCGCTTTGAGCAAAAGAGCTGAGGGATGGATGGTGCCCAGGCCCAGAGTTCAATCCCCATGGCTGACCCCTCCCCCCCACCAAAAAAAAGCAGATAAAATCTCACTACTCAATATCTTCAAAAGTAAAATCGGCCATTGACCAGGTTTACATTTGAGTCCTCAAGTAAACATTTCAGAGAAATTTCATGTGTTATTTGGTCACTGTCGTTGCAACTCAGCTTCTTTGTACAGACAGACAGACAGACGAGCAGGCAAATAGCAAGTTAGTTTATGGGTGTGTATTCTGCTATGTAAATCAATTAAGGGAAATCAATGTGAAATTGTAACTGTTAGCACTGTCATTGTCATTATTTGACCATTGGATTCTCTCCTGGGTCACCAGCTAGCTTGTTAGCATGCCGGTTTAGGATTAGAGATTTGATTATCTTTTCCTCTTCAGCTGTTTCTCAGCAGAATTTGTATCCTTCCCTCTCGCACACATGCGCGAACCCTGATGCGTATGTTGTAGGAAGAGCTAAGGGGTAGATTTTCTTGCTGCTAGAATCTGTTTATTTGGCTTTGGGTGGATGGAGGGGGGAAGGGAGGTTTCTTTGCTGTGTACCAAGAAGTCGCTGCCCCAGCAGTGTTGGGGCAGTAGTTGATCTTATGACCTGAGATTGCACAAATAGCCTTGTAAAAATAGTGGTGTGTTTCCAGTCTACACTATAAAAAGGGAGCTGTGGCCGGGTGCTGGGTGGCTGAGATCTGAGGATCCAGGTTGGAAGCCCACCAGGCCGAAAAGTCTGAGAGTCTCTTAGCTGTGATTAACAAAAAGCGAGAAGTGGAGGTGTGGCTCACATGGTAGAGCACCATCCTTGAGTGAAAAAGCCAAGCCACAGCCTGAGGCACAAAAAAGAGTAGCTGTGTCTCAGATACATTTCATGAACACTTACCGCATATTATTTTGGAAAATGTACATTCTGAGTTTAAAGAATTGTCTTGAAACATGTTTGCCTTGGATCGCAGTCATCGTAAGTCACCTGGCTTTGTTCAGTTCTGTTAGCTGACAAAAGTTGGTAAAAGTTAGGGAAGATTACTTTTGTGTAACCTAGAAACACTTAGTAACGGTTCCTTTTCACATTTGTAGACGAGATCATCGGATGCTCATTCATCTGGGTCTTCGGATGCACATGTAAGTAGAAGATTTCTTTTTTTGGGTCCAGTCGTGGGGCCTGAACTCTGGGCCTGGGCGCTGTCCCTCAGCTCTTCAGCTCAAGGCGAGCACTCTACCACTTGAGCCACAGCGCCACTTCCGGCTTTTTTCTTTTTGCTTATGGGTGCTGAGGAATCGAACCCAGGGCCTCACGCATGCAAGGCAAGCGCTCTACCACTGAGCCACCTTCCCAGCCCCAGTAGAAGATTATTATATTGATGTGTACACTGTGCCAAAGGTTCATTTACCCTCCTTTTTTTCTGTTCTAATATGTATAGCTTAGCTCCTTCAAACCATGTTAGAAACCTCATACTAATTTTTATTGTGCTTTAAAATGTTTGTGCATACACTTTTTTTCTTACTACATTTTATACCCGTTAAAATAGCTCTCCTTAATCCACTCTTGTGGCATCATGTTCCAAAGTAGAGAGAAGCATTGCTCTGTGGCGCACATACATTTTGTTTATAGCTTTTTTTTTTGGTCGGTCGTGGGGCTTGAACTCAGGGCCTGGGCGCTGTTCCTCAGCTCTTCAGCTCAAGGCTAGTGCTCTACCACTTGAGCCACAGCACCACTTCCTGTTTTCTGGTGGTTTATTGGAGATAAGAGTCTTATGGACTTTTCCTGCCCAGGCTGGCTTTGAACCACGATCCTCAGATCTCAGCCTCCTGAGTAGCTAGGATGGCAGCAGGCGTGAGCCACGGTGCCTGGCAAATGGGACTTTTTAATATGACATGAATAACAAGTACATATAACCTACTAACCAAAGCGTGAAGTTTATCTCGGGCGAAGGACTTGTGTGATGGTTTGAATTGAAAGTGGAAAACGAGTTGCTTTTTCATGGAATATGTTCTTTTTTTTTTTTTTGGCCAGTCCTGGGGCTTGAACTCAGGGCCTGGGTGCTGTCCCTGAGCTTTTGTTGCTCAAGGCTAGCAGTCTACCACTTGAGCCACAGCGCCATTTCCAGCTTTTTCTGTGCATGTGGTCTGAGGAATCGAACCCAGGGCTTCATGCATGCTAGGCCAGCACTCTACCCTGAGCCACCTTCCCAGCCCCAGTGGAATCCATTCTTAAAGAACAACTGGTGACTCAGAGTTAGGTATTTGTTTGGGAGACGTTTCTTGGGAATGACGGCAAGAACCCATGATTTCAACAATAACTATAGCTATAATCTGCCTTTTGAGCTTTTGACTGCAAATTAGAATTACTGAAAATGTTCGTGTTCCTAAGGACTTGGCTAATGAAAGCGATGTTGATCATTGAAGAATATGGTTTGGATAGTGCGCAATGAGATTTGTCAGTATTTACACACTTGGATTACTTCTAGTTTTCAGAACGCTGTGTGTGATTTTTAATATGTGTTTAACCTTTTGTAAAGATGGATGCCTCTGGACCCTCAGACAGTGATGCACCAAGCCGGACGCGGCCCAAGAGCCCAAGGAAACATAATTACAGGAATGAAAGTACCCGGGAAAGCCTCTGTGACTCTCCTCATCAGAACCTTTCTAGAGTGGGTATTGTACAGATAGAAGAGGAGAGCTATTGCTTTTCCTCTTCCCTGGCAGAATGTGGTGGGGTGTCGCGAGCTTTGTGACTGTAGGGTGCTAAGTCCCAGACACCCGAGATGGGGTGCACAGATTCCTCGCGCCCAGAGCTGCTGCTCTCCCTGCGGGCGGCTGGGCCGAGTGCGAGCGTGCTGTCCTGCGTTCTCGTCCTTTGTTTATCCATTTGGAAAACACAATAAAGAGCATGGCCAATCAGCAGTTATTAACCACTCACCACAGATTGCCTTGTTGATTAATAATTCAAAGCAAAAATGCGTTTTTACTTTTCTGGGATTTTTTTTTTGGTCAGTCATGGGTCTTGAACTCTGGGCCTGGGCGCTGTCCCTGATCTCTTCAGCTCAAGGCTCTACCACGTGAGCCACAGTGCCACTTCTGGTTTGCTGAGTGGTTTATTGGAGATTAGAGTCTCTCCTGCCCAGGCTGGCTTTGAACAGTGATCCTCAGATCTCAGCCTCCTGAGTAGCTAGGATGACTGGCGTGAGCCACTGGTGCAGGGCTGTTTTCTTACGTGGGTTGAATATCCCATATCTACAGTGCTTGAGATCAGAAATGCTTTAGGTTTAGGAGTTATTTGCATATTCATGAAGGCTCTGGGGCATGGGACCTAAGTCTAAATGAATGGGAAATCCTTTTCTGTGTCATAGCCCAAAGGTCATTTTCTTCTGTGTCTCCAGTACACTTTTGCTCTGGTCACAACCCCTTAAGGAGGTTTAATGTGGAATTGTCCAGTGATGGCATCATATTAGTGTCCAAGAAATTTCAGGTTTTGTATTTGTTAAGGATACTCGGTGTTCAAAATCAGTGTGTGTAATTGTACTTGCACTGAACCCTATACCCACTGTAGGTCACACATTCAGCAAAGGACACTGTTCGTAAATACCAGAGCTGCTGCTGAGGAGTAAGGCAGTATACTAAGTGATAAAAGATGCATAAAGGCAGAGGCTGTTAGAGATGGGAGGTGACATGGGCTATGGAAATGTGCCTTCATGTCCGTATTTGGTATCTGTTTTCTCCCATTGCTGCTTTTGCCTAGAAATGCCTGTGTTTCTCCTCTTCATATACTTTATCCTTTTTTTTTGGGGGGGGGGTCCGGTCGTGGGTCCTGAACTCTGGGCCTGGGTGCTGTCCCTCAGCTCTTCAGCTCAAGGCTAGCGCTCTACCACTTGAGCCACAGCACCACTTCCGGCTTTTTTTTTCTGCTTATGTGGTGCTGAGGAATCGAACCCAGGGCCTCAGGCATGCAAGGCAAGTGCTCTACCACTGAGCCACCTTCCCAGCCCCTATACTTTTATTCTTACTCTGAGACTTGGTATGTGACTTTTGGCTGTTACTGACCTTGAGCTAGGAAGTAAAATCATAGGCACCTGACATTTTGGACAGCATCAGCTTTTCTTTACAACCAAACCTTTAAAAAGTGATCCATTTCAAAGGCTTGTGTATCAGCTAAGGTAGGCGTTAAGTTTACAGATCGCATTAATGTGTGTGTAAAGACATGCCTTTTCCTTCTTTTCATAGCCTCTTCTAGAAAACAAACTTAAAGCATTCAGTATTGGAAAAATGAGCACAGCGAAGCGAACCTTAAGTAAGAAAGAACAAGAGGAATTAAAGAAAAAGGTAAAGTGTAAAATTATTTTGAGCTACATGCTTTCCATGTATCTGGGATAGCGGGTGTGTACCACTGTGCTCAGCTTGTGTCCGTTGAGTTGAGGACTTGTGAAGGTTTTGGCAGGGCTGGTTTGGAGCCTGGCTCTTCCTGAGTAGTTAGAGTGACAGCCGGGAGCCGTTTCTCCCTGCTTTGCATTGGTATTTGCAGCTGTATCTGAATCCAGGCCTGACCCATGTCGTTAAATCAGCCCTCTTCCGCTTGGCCTGCACCCCAGCCACCTCCCCAGCAGGCTCCCATTCACCCGGCTTCTTGCTTGGGGTTCCCGAGTGGGTGCGATGGCAGGTGAGCACCATCTCCCTCCTGGCCCACCTTCTCATGCGCTCATGTTCCTTGTGTCTCAGGAGGATGAGAAGGCGGCCGCTGAGATTTATGAGGAGTTTCTTGCTGCTTTTGAAGGAAGCGATGGTAACAAAGTAAAGACGTTTGTTCGCGGAGGAGTTGTCAATGCAGCCAAAGGTGAGCGCGCACCCCGGTCCTCACAGGACTGCAGGTAGGTGGTCCCTGTGGAGGGTGCCGAGGGTGAAGGCACACACTCTGGTCCTGGTGACTGGGGGTGGTTCCCGTGGAGGATGCCGAGGGTGAGTACACACACACCCCACCCCCGTCCTGCCGTCCTTGACCTAGTTACCATGGGGGTTTGTAGTTCACCTGTTTTCTGATAGCACCCTCTAGTGGCTGCAGTGATGATAAACTAAAGGGCTGAGGTGATAAAGAAAGAGGCGCTGAGCCCACGCCTGTAATCCTAGCTACTCCGGAGGCTGAGATCTGAGGATCGCGGTTCAAAGCCAGCCCGGGCAGGAAAGACCGTGAGACTCCTATCTCCAATAAACCACCAGAAAACCGGAAGTGGCGCTGTGGCTCAAGTGGTAGAGCGCTCGCCTTGAGCTGAAG